GGGGGGGGGGGGGGGGGGGGAAGGGGATGGTGGAGTGTGAAATTATGACATACTTTCAGGAATTATCTAGTTGAATCGATAATTAATAAAAATGACCTAAAAAAAGCGTAAGATTTCTGTCAACTGTTTTAAATCTACACCGTTACGTATGGACATGCTGCAAAATACCAGTTACCAATTTTACTCAAGCTTTCCATTAATTTATGTTTGTCTAATATGAGTTCAAAGATTACAGGCATTGCATCATGGCTTCTGTCTGAAGATTAAGGAAATAACGCTACTTCAACTCCTTACGTTGCAGAGAACGCCCCCAATATGGAATCAACAGTTTTGTCGCCGGGCAGAATTGTAAACACGGTGCTACCAACATTTAAACCACCTCCCTCATAAACAAGTCTTGCGCAAATTGAAATTCGAACACATTCTTAGAGTGGTAAAGTGCGCGTTTGGACTGCAGTTTCTCTCTAAGTGCTACCGCTAAACACCTATCGCGTTATAACACCAATTCGTGTAATCGAGCGCTTAAAATGGAAAATTTAACACTGCCGTCACCCGCAACTGTTTCTGACGCGACTTCGAAATTTGCTATCGTGCGCTGCGCAGAAAAACGAAATGTTTCAACTAAATCCTTACGTCTAGACTAAAGAAAGTTTCGTAAGCAGTATATAATCCTACTTTAGTGAAGCGAAAACTTGTGTGCGTCCAAGTCAGCGCAATCTAGACACTGAAGTACAAAATCGGCGCACGCAAAATTGAAGTACACTATTCTGGCGTTTATTTATTTTGCGCCATGGTGAAAATCAGTTTGGCGTGAGTGACGAAGACTTTTCGGATATAAATGTTTGAATAAGTCGATTTAACTGTAAGATTTATGCGCTTTTTTGTTCAGACTACCTGTTCGTTTTACTTTCTGGATAGCGCCCGCCGCCATGTTCGTGAAGTGAAAGAAAATGCGTTCTAGAATTTTACAGTAATGCGCGCATGGAAATGAAGTTTTTTGCTCAGATATCTGCTTAAAAAGGTTGCGCACACTAAAAAGATAGAACATGGTGGTCTGTCAGCGCAAAACAGTCTTTCTATCTTGTCGTACCCGACTACATTCGACGATATGCATCTTCAGTCAAACAACAAACAGCCGGCTTCGCATCCTTGTGCGGGTCCTAACAAGCTCCCACTTTTTGGGCAGTGCGCATCGAAAATTCCTTATCAGAAAATACCCTCAAGAACTAAGAACGATGATTCGATGTGAAAATGATCACAATGTGAGTAGTAGTCTGTCTTAAAGAGCAACCTAAGGACAAAATTCTGCTTGCAGCAAGCGGTTTCCACGCTAAAACGAACAACGCAAAATGACCATGAACGCATTGGGACATCGCATTTCGCAGTAAATCTTCCCTTTTTCTCGAAGCAAATCGATGCGTAAACGTCTAACAGCAATAAGGGAATCGATTTTGACGAAATCTATGAGTGCGCAAGTTGTTTAAAACGAAGAAAGCGAGAAGAAAGCGAAGACCGCGTCGCAAACGGCCGCTCGATTCTTGTAAATTCGCTGTGTAACCCGGTTGGACAGCTTGCGCCTTGCGCCTAAATCCAATCTTCTCTGTAAGACTTACCTGCTTTTTCGAGACGACGGCACTATTTTTTGTCTCGCTCTTCTTAACAAGTCTGTCTACGATGCTCAGGAGGTTGGTTCTGGAAAACATGAAAAAATACAAAATATTTAAGCGTTGTATTAGAAAGCGACGTCACAAAACCGAAACACGGAAACTTCGCAATTCTGTGCGGAAACTTGCTATCAACAGAAATCTTCTCACCGCTTCTTCATTGACGAATCGAGCGACATCACGACGCAAAAATTCTCCCTTTCCTGGTTTTAAAACTTCCACATTTAGAGGAGATGATTCGAGAGGGTGTTGGTGAGGGAACTGAGAAAGAATATCCAACGCAAAAACTAAATGAGATTTGCATAAAATTTACAAGTTAGCGCGCCCGGTGTTATCCCAGAGTTCCGTGCAACCGCTTGAAAATTATGGGCTGGGCACAAAGAGAAGCTATTTATAGCATTTGACTGAAAATGAACTAATCTTTTCGGAAGATGCGCAAATTACAAATAAAATATAAAAAATAGCCACAGCATACATAGGTACTCCCAAACCGGAAATTGTTCAACCCATCATTATTGGACGTAATTGTCCTCAAAGACCGCAATGAAAATTCCAGCCCCAATAAATATTTCCTGTTTGTTACTGTCTATGTTTCTTATTTCACGTCCTCCAATAGTATAGAAATGTTTACTAGGTGCGTACTTCGTAAAAGTATAGTAGGACCTTGTTACTCCTTTATTTTCCAAATAGTACGATGTTCCAAAACCTGCACTTGTTTTTCGCGCAAATTAAACTAGGCTGTCTCAGTCTTTCAGGAAATTGTAGTGTATCGAATCAAGATACTCTACAGGGTAATGAAGAAAATAAACCCTGAGGTTAGCGGGAGAACTTCGCACAACTACTAGGTCCGTTTGAGACAGAGGCTTTGTTCGTTAACCAGACTCATTGAAGCTGAAAAACTTTTCCAATGTCTTAAATTATGATTTCTAAGCTTGCAAACAGTAACTAAATATTTAAAAACCAGTCGTTTATAGTCAAGCCAGAGGTAACGAACTTTCCCCCTATGAATTCAAATACTTAGTTAAAAAAACATACAAAGTTATTCATAAAGAGAAGGATTCCTTGACCATTCTAAGTTAATACGGCATCAATTGTATTTTTTTGGAAATCAGCAAAAGGAGTTAAAGTAGTGTTTTGTTTAGAGGCAGGCTTGTTCAGACTGACTTTTCTAGTCCGCTAGGATTCCCTAACTTATTGGACCGGACACCGTTTTCTTTCTCTCTCGGAAAGCGAAAAACGCGACCAAAATGGATAGACGTGCATGGTGGTTTTCGCCTCCCCTACTCAACTGATTGAGCCACTGACAAGGTTCGGGAGCTCGTGATATGCTCGTGATACGCAATTATCCAATAAACCGCCGTGCGCTTTGCACAACAACTGCCTGCTTTTTTGATCGGTTGCCGGCCTTTGTAGCTTTACACACTGCCGGATTTATCAGTTGCACAATACAAAGACCTCAGCGGTGAAATTGGCTTTCCCTAGTCCCTTGCAACATTGCCGCTGACAGTATAACTTTACTAGTTTGAATCCGCTCAATAAAAGAGAAAATCAGAACAAGAATTGAACTTATCGACCGTAAATTTCTCCCAAATCTTAAAAATGAGTATCCATCTGATGTTGCACCTTTCTGAAAATAATCCCATGGGCTCTTAAAGAAAGATATGACGTCATCCAATTACGTCTTCACTCAATCTGGAGAGCCCCGAGTGGAAATCGAGCTGGTATTCTACTTTAATGTCGTTGCAGGATGCTCAGAAACCTAACACGTATTTTGTGTTCACATTATTATGTTTAGAGACTTTTGACATTCGGTATTCTTGCAGGTACGCAGCTGTCATTTTTCAGACCCAACATCCCTTCTATATATACAGAAACCCAAACTTCTCCCCGTTGTTGTAAATGAGACAGAAAATTTGTAGCGCCAATTTGACGACGGATTTTCTACGGGATCCGGCGGGTATTGCTGTGACTTGCTGTTCATTTGGTCAGTAGTTTCGTATCGCCAGATTTCATGGCCAAACGGACGCAACAAGTAGCCGCAAGTTGAATTTGCGTAGAGACTTGTGTTGGGCATGGGTGGCCAAACGGACTCGCAAGTTTCCTCCCAAGTACACGCAAGTCGCAATTAAGGCTCAGCTCAACTTGCGTTGACCTGGGTTGAGACCAAATAGTGAAAAACTTGCATAGACTTGCGTGCAAATTTGATCTCGACCAAAGTGAGCGCAAGTCATCGCAATTTATTATTCAACGCAAATGCACGCAAGGCCTGGAGAAACGGAATCGCAAGTAGACCCAAGTTCTGAATTTGCGTCTACTGGCGAGTCTGTTTCGCCAGAGCTCTGAAGGGACTTTAAACAAGGTAGAAAATCACATATTTTTAAAGCTTTGTAATTTTATCAGGTTCGCTAAAAAAACAGACTGATTTCTCTCTCTGCCAGCTCTTGTTTTTGTTGTTGTTGATTTTGTTGTACGTGTTGTCATTGAAGTAGGTCCGATCGAGTAGTCGACCGAGTTTGAAATAAAACGTATGAGAATTTTTTCCAAAAATATCTACTTTGAAAGATCAATACTGCCATTCTTTTTGATTTAATGCTTCGATTGTGGCACTGGTGAAAAAGTACATAGTGCTAATTTCCTCAGCTTAACATAACAAGTTACCATGACAAAGGTATGGCCAATTAAAATCCCGGTTAATTTTAGCGGCTTCAAGTGCTTTCACGAATTCTGTGGCCCCTATCAGTTATATTACTGAGCTGTAATTACTTGTCAAGATTCAACTTTTAACAGAGTTTAAGAACATTGTGACAGCGATTTTAGAGCCACCTTAAGTTTTCGAAAAGTTACAGTCGCTCTCATTCCCGGACCCTCCAACATTTTTTGTTTCGTGCGTAATTCCAGCTACTGAATAGGGGTATTCAATGGAGTGGGGAAGGCGGGGGTCACGGCTAACGGTTGATATTTGGGCTTTTTTACGGTTAATGCTTTTTCCTTACGGTTAAAAGAAATGTTAGAAATTTTTACCCATTGTTTTAAAAAGTTAAAAATTAATTTTCATAGTTTAAAATGGTTAAAAATTTATTTGGTTATCTGTAAAACATATTTCTGTCTAAGTTATTATTACATGAGTTGTAGACTAATATAGCTTATTACTACAGTAAGACAAGACACAAAAATGTTTTGACAAGAAATCTTGAGACTTTCACTTTCGTGGCTAAATTTTTTCTCACGGTTAAGATTTTCTACGGTGAAGTGGTTAAAAACTTCCAACTTTTACGCCCAACAGCTAAATTTTGGTCCTTTTTATGGCTAACAATGTAAGAAACCCCATTGACGTTACATACGTTCTTTACGTTGCAATACAAACTCCTATATTTACGTTAATTGTTTCGCGATATCTCATAACGTCCATAACGACACAAACGGAATGCCGAGTTTGGGATACCTGTGATAAATCATTATTAACCTTCTCTCCAAGACCTGGATGAAGAAAAGCAAATAATGTTTTTTCGTCATAAGTTCTGGGCCAAAAATTCTAATTGACAAGCTGCAAGCTGCCACTAAACGTTTTAGACTTCCTGAGAAGGTTTAGTAACAGGAATGAACAATTTTTGCCATTCTCTCACCATTTCGATGGGCCTTTCTGTATTGGAGTTTATAGCGTTGTAGCAGTCTTTCTGACTTGGTGTCTATTAGTTTCTGGCCTACGTGTAGCGGTACCCGCCACCCACCCCCGAGGAAAAGCGGGCGGAAGGGAACGTTGCCTCCCATTTTTCCTCGGGGGT